TTCTTTTTCTTGGTTCTCTCTCACCCCGGCTGCGTTGCACCAGGAGACGCCATGCACCTCGGGATGAGCTCGCTTGCTTAGCATGTGGCATCTTCCAGGAGTTTTGGTTTGTTGGGTGTTTCTTTGCTTGGCCTCCAAACATCAGCTTTGAGCACTGGAGCTGTGGATGAGATGTTTGGAAAAGTCCTTGCTGGCCTGAGAGGGCCTTTTCACAGCTGTGATGGGCCATGACATCCTGATCCCACAGCTTTGCTTCCCAACAGCTGCCCCAAAGCTGTCCTGCTGATGGGGCCGACACTCGTGGCACGTGCCTGGTTTTGGCTGCAGGAGCACAGAGGAGGCTGAAGGCTGTTCGTAGCCAGCACAGCGTGTTTTGCTCTGGATGGACCCCGAGTCCCTGCAGTGCCGAGAGCGGGAGCAAGGGCTCCTGGAGCCAGCAGCACACAGGGGTGCTGTGATGGCAGACCCGCTCTGAGCACTGCAGGGCACTGGGGCAGGACGTGGCCCATGCCCCTGCCATCTGCTCCATTCATTCCAGAAACAGGCCAGCACTTCTCTCTGGAGTACTGCTGATGCTTTTCACTGCTCCAAAATCTCTGCTTAAAGGAGAGAGCTCAGAAAGAAACATCCAAGAGGCAACATCGTCATTAGCAAAGCTGAGTGCTGCCAGGAAAACACCCTTGGAAGTTGGTTCCCTCTGGGTTTAGCCTTTGCTCCTCTGCTCTGTGTTGTGGCTCAGCCGTAGCAAACCCACGGATCTGCAGCTTGGGAGCATCCACACAGATGCCTTCGAGAAACGCGGTGGCCGCCCCTTGCTCCCTGAAGGTGCCTGCTTCAGGGGGCTGGGGTAGCCTTTACCAGCATTCATCACTCAGCAAAGCCATGCAATAGTTCAGGACAGGAATGAAGACAGTTCTCATTCGGTTTCTGTGTATAAATAGCACTGTGAATCTGAGATCCCTCCCCAGGACCCTCCTGGCACGCTGGGGCGTTTCGGGAAGCAAGGCACAATGTCTCCTGCGCTTCCCGGGGGATTCGTGCTCGGTGGAATCAAGCGCCTGGTCCTTCCCTGCCGGGGTGGCGAGGCAGCCTGTTAGCTCTTTCAGTTTTGTTTTACCTCATTTTTTTTATTTGATACTTGAAGAAGCATCAGTGATGGACATTGTACAGTGGTGCCCTGGACTGGAAAGTGGATGCACTTTATCGTCACTTGTGTACAGACAGTGGGTCCCATCCCACCTCTGCCGAATCCCAGCAAGGTGTCCTTGGTGGCAGCAGAACCAGCATGGGCTGGTTCTTCCAAGACCCTTTCTAGGATGTTAGGGAGCAATCTCTGTCTTTTAGTGTGGGTTTTCACATCCTGTAGAAACTTGAAGTCATGTTCTGCTGTCAGTTGACCCAGTGAAAAATTCAGCTGGAATTGTGCTAGGCAGACTTTGGTTTGCCTGTGCTGTGCCAGCAGGAGACAGCAGAGGCTGGGCAGCTCCTGCCTCCCTCCCTTAGGACTCCCCTGTTCCAGTGGGTTACTCTGAGGCGTCCCCACTGGATCTGCTCCAGCATAATCCAGGGCTGCAAATGGAGCAAATTGAAAGTCACCCCCTGTAAAGTGACACTAATATAAAATCTGGAGTAGTTCCACTACTGTCTGAAAATGAAGTCCCCCTCCAATGGTGGCACTGGGTTGCTGACAGCAGGATGTGCTTTCTGGGCTTATGATGATGCTTTTGAAACAACTTGCAGAGACACAGCAGTGAGATGTAGCAGTGTGGTGTGGCCGTTGAGATCTGCTCTTGGCTCCTGGGAGCTGGGACACAAGACGTGGTCACAGACTGTTTTGCTTATCTGTGAAACCATCAGCATTCCTTTTTCCTTTTTTTTTTTTTTTTTTGAATTCTATTCAAGATAATCATAAAAAAAAAAAAAAAAGGGAAAAATAAAAGACCGGGGGCTGGATCCTGTTTTGCAGTATAGGATTTGCTCCTGAGTTAGAAAGCGGTGTTAAGCAAACATGAAAGGCAATGGGCACGAGGGCTGGTGGATGCCAGACTGGCAGGTTTGGCAGCTGCTGCAGAGCCAGCTCTGATCCCAGGCCCAGGCAAGCCACAGAAATCCCCAGGGATGCCCAGAGCAGCCCCCAGGCATCCTACTGCAAAGCTGGGAGCCTGTGGGGCTGCAGAGGACTTCCTCTGGCTCTGCCCTGGTATCAAAGAGATCCAGGCTCCAGCTTGCTGCCTTTGGGACTTTGGCAGAGCAGCTCCAGTGGGATTTCCCACATAAGATGTGCTAAAACGAAACCCAAGCCACAGGGTCCCCGCAGCAGCAGCAGCTGATCTCACCGATACTCACCCAGGGTAGCACAGCCCTCCCCAGCCCTTCATGGCTTTGCTTGCACAGCATCACCTTGGCTTCCTCTCATCCTTGCTTCAGACTTAACGTATGGGATTGTGTGTATCCGCTTTCCCTTGGGCCTGGGCGCTGCTGCAGTCCTGCTCCACAGTGCTCCCACCTTGTGCTGAGCCAGCTGGCCACTGCTGGCCATGCCATCTGTGTGGCCCTTCCAGTCAAAGTCCATTCCCTATTATTTTGTGTTTGCTTTTTTTTGTTGTTGTTTTTGTTTTTTCCTCTTTTCTTTAACATCATAGGAAACCTATAGTTGGGATTGTTACTATTAGAAACCGATCACATGTTCCATCCAGGTATTTTCATCTCTCTGGCGTTACGCAAAAATAAAAGCCTAAGAGAGAGATATAACCGAACATAGAAGTAGAGTTAGGCTTGTTGTCTGAGTTTTGAGGCATATAGTATAATGGGAGAAGGAAAAAAATTAAAATAAAATAAAATTAAAATAATGATGTTGCACAACTTGTAGAAAACAAAGAAGGGAAAGGGTTAATGTATTAAATGTGCTAAATTACATTAAGAACTTAATTTTATTAAAGTATTATTACTTAAGAAACTTGGTATCTGCTCTTGGTTTGTGTCTGTTCTCGCTTGAGGAAGGGCCAGGAGCTGTGGTCGGGAACAAGGCCCTGCTGGGCTGAGTTCCAGGGCAGTGGGGCTGGGCCTCCCTCTGCCACCCCTCCTGCATCTCCCACCAGTCCCATGCTTTTGGCAGCAATTCCTGGGGTTCATTAAAGCACTTGTGAGATGATGAGCCTCCTGAGGCAGCTGCTTCTCCCAGTGCTGGTGCTAGCAGGTCCCACAGCTGTGAGCCACCCTGTGCCACATTTCACCCTTCCCACTTCTTCATTGCAGCAGAAAACACCTGAAAACTGGAAAGCCTGGAACAAAACTGAGTAGCCCAGCCCAAAAGCATCTCCATGAGTGTAAATGAACTCATCATCACCTGTGTCCATGCCAGTGTCTGGCTGGTGGCACGTCCAGTGGCAGTGAGGCCCAAGGGACACTTGGCTCAGCCCTGTCCCTTTGTGGAGCAGCATCCATTCCCCACCTCTCCAGCCGGTAGGGCTGACATCACCTCCTGGCACCGTCTTCTGCCATGGGCAGATGGTGTGGGAGGAGGGGGTGCTTGGCAGCTCCAGCTGCTCTGCATGCTGCCAGGGCTTTGCCAGCTGAGGTGGGCATGGGGTAAAGCACAGTGGCCACATTCACCTGGGGACAGCCTCCAGTGTAGTCAGCCCCAGGGTATGACAGGGGTCTGGCTGGCTCAGGGATGAGGCTGCCTCTGGAGGGGGCTGTGCTGTGGTGTAGGGGGACAGTGCCAGGGGGCTGGAGCCAAGGTTAAGGTGCTGCCAGGGCTGGGGTGGCTGCACAGCGGCTGGATAAGAAGGGGCACCCACATGGTGTATCCCCTCACTGCCCCTGTGCTGGCAGCAGGATCCTACCTGTTCCTCTAATCCTGAATTTCAAGCTCTCCCCTCTGGCCTCCTAGCAAGACACCACCCCCTTGCCCAGTCCTACCTTCCTCCCAACCCTCCTCCTCCTCACCCTTCATTGCCTGTGGATGCTTCCCAGCTCTCCCATGTGGGGCTGGCACTGCTCTTGCCTCAAAGAAAGACCTGGCAGAGAGAGAAAAGGCTTCAACAGCAGCTTTATTTGGGGATTTTGCCTCAATTTCTGTTCCATCAACAAATCATGCCCCAAGGGGGAACCCTGGCCCAAATCCTACTGGCACAGCCAAGTGAGATGCAGAGACTGGGGGCAGCTGTGGAGAGAAAGAGAGATCCCCCAAAACCCCACACAGTGACAGGAGCCACAGTCCCAGTACTGGGGCAATGGGGCAGGCTTTCCCACCTGCACCCTTCTTGACTGACACCTGCCAAGCACCCCTGCCAGCAGCATGGGGCTCAGCACGGTCTGTCCCAGCATCCTGGGTGATGCACACCCTGGGGGTGGCCACTGTCCCCCAGGCAGGGCACAAGGCCACTGTCATCCCACTGATGTATCAGACACTCCATCCAGTGGTGGAGTGTCCCCAGGATGGGCCATTCATCCACCAGCCACAGTGGCCAAACACTCGAGCAGGGAAGGGCCAAGCCAAGCCAGGGGGTCCTTGCAGCTGGAGCTGAGGGGTCCCCAGTGCTGACACTGGCTCCCACACAGGCAGCTGTGCAGAGGGACCATGTGCCTACCCTCAGCACCTCATCCCTGCCCCTCACCCTCAGCCCCAAAATCCCTGTCCCCTCCTTGGGGCTTCCCAAAGGCCACAGCCCCCAGCCCCTGCTCCCATCTCTTTCCATGGAAGAGTCACAGCTCTTCCTTTTGCTGGGGTCATGCCAAGGGTGGGGGTCACAACACAAAAACAGCGTCGCCCCCACAACCCTGGATGGCTCCAGCAGCACCCAGAGGCACTCCCAGCTCTTGGTGCTGCTGGGACAGGGCTGGGCACAACTGGCCACATCACTGCTGGTTTCACCAGGCAGGAGAAGGATGCACCCAGTGTCCCCCTCCACACCCATCCCACGGGGCCACACACAGGGCGTCACCAAACCGGGACTCACCATGCTTGGGCTTGCTCAGTGCCACCCAGCCACTGTGCCTGCAGGGCTAAAGGGAGCAGGGACACAAGGGATGGCATGCCCCCAGCCTTGGGGAGTGAGGGGAAGACACCCCGATGCTTTGCCTCCTCCCGTTTTTGTTGGTTCTACACAAACACAGGTGGGGCAGCATATGGGCAGGATGATGGTGCACACAAAAGCAGCCGCCAGCCTGCACTGCTCAGGGAGCTGCGGTGGGCACAGGTAGAGGGTGAGACACACGATGCCACCGTGTGTTGGGTGGTGGGGGGTCAAGGTGGGGGCAGCCCAGGGGCTCAGATGTTCTGGCAGCAGGGCGCTTGCCGGCCCTCCTGATGCGTGGGCAGCACCTGGATGGGCTCGATGGTGGTGGAGGGACCAAACTCTGACTCCGGCTGCCCCGTGATCTGTCTCTGGGACACAATGCGGTAGATCTCTGCCAGCAGAGAAAAAGGAAGTGAAAAAATTCTTTAGGTAAGTATTTCCACAAACACACAGCTCCAGGGGTGCAACTGCCCACCTCTCCACAGCCAAGGGAGCCGGATTCCAACCCAGATCCCACACAGTACAGCCAGGCCCCCAGGGGTGTCCTGAAAGGACACAATGTCCAAAGCCATCTCTATTTCTGTCCCTCCCTTTCCTGGCTGCCCCTTACCCGAGAGGATGTTGTGGAAAGCTGTCTCCACATTGGTGGAATCCAGAGCAGATGTCTCAAGGAAGGACAGCCCATTCTTCTCTGCAAGAACAGTGTGAGCTCAGGTGGGTGCCATGAGCCCCAGCCAGATGGGATGGGACCGGACAGGATGGGGGAAGATACCTGCGAAGCTCCTGGCCTCATCGGTGGGCACTGCCCGCAGGTGCCGCAGGTCGCTCTTGTTTCCCACCAGCATGATGACAATGTTAGCATCAGCGTGGTCCTGCAGCTCCTTGAGCCAGCGCTCTGCATTCTCATACGTCAAGTACTTGGCAATGTCATAGACAAGCAGAGCTCCCACTGCCCCCCGGTAGTACCTGAGGGACAGCGAGGGGACAGCGTCACAGCAGGGCCCCAGGCAAGGGCCACAGGTTGGGAGTGAGAAGACTCACGCTGAGGTGATGGCCCGGTATCGCTCCTGCCCGGCCGTGTCCCAGATCTGAGCCTTCACCGTCTTGTTGTCTACCTGGATGCTCCTCGTGGCAAACTCCACCCCGATGGTACTCTTGCTCTCCAGGTTGAACTCATTGCGGGTGAAGCGTGAGAGCAGGTTGCTCTTTCCCACCCCTGAGTCCCCGATGAGCACAACTAGGGGGCACAAACACAGTGTCAGCTCTCCCAGCCACCCAGGAAAGGCACCCATCCCACAGCCTGGCAGGGATGGGAATCTCCTCATCTGCCCCCCCCATCCAGACCCCACCTTCATCTTATCCAGGAGGAACTGGCAGGTGAGGGGTGAAGCAGAGCAGGACCAGCTGCCTCCACCCCTCCCAGCAGCATCACTGCTACCTATAAATACCCCCTGAGAAAATTTCTGCCATTGCTGGGAAGTTGCCAGAAGTTTCTTTCCCTGGGGATGAGAAGACACCATAAGCACTGATGTGCCCAAAATGGGCAGAAAACCAGAGTCAGGACCTGTGCAGGGAGAGCCAGGCCAGAGGCCTGACAGAGCTGGGGCTCCTCTTGCCAACCCTGTGTGCCTTCCAACTGTGAGGGCACACTGGAAGGCTTAAAGACAGGGTTTGAAAGGAAGCATCCTCCTCTGCTGCTGGTCCGGGAAGTCCCTGGGTGTGGGTTAAATGCATTTTCTGCCTGTCCCAGATCTGGCTGGTTCCTGTAAAACCTGGTGAAACAGGCTCTGGGGTGCTTTATCACACACCTCCCCAGTCAAGTTTGTTGAGTTAATGACTCAACAGGTTTTTGGTTTTATTTTTTAAGTTAGTTTTAATTCCCTCACTGCTGATGCTGTTCACTCCCCAGGTGTACTCAAACACTTCACCCACTGGTGGGACGCATCTCCCCAGGGCTGGACAACAGCAGGGCTCAGGTCACAGCCATCCAGTGACCACGGTGGGGAGGACACAGGAACAGCAGCACTAGCAGGGGGCCACTGGGATGGCACACACTGCAGCAGCCTCAGCAAAGCACAGCCACACTCAGTCAAGGCTCTGCAGCTGCCTTCCTGCAAGGATGCTGCTCCATGTCCTGGACAACCCCTCCCCACCAGCTCCAGCTTGTACACACAGCTCCCCTGCCTGTGCAAAGAGTCCAAGAATGCAGCCACCCCCTTGACAAAACCCTCAGTGCAGGGCAGCCAGCAAACAGCCTGGCACCAGGAAGCCCAGCAGGAAGTGGGACAGCTCTCTGGGATCCCTGAGGGAAGCTGGAAGGCACCGGAACACTGCTGGCAATCGCTGTCAGGACAGGCAGCGAATGAGGGAATGGCAGCTCCTCCACAGCATCACAGAAAGGTTTGGGTGGATGGGACCGTAAAGCCCATGTTGTTCACTAGACCAGGTTGCTCCAAGCCCCATCCAACTTGTCCTAGAACACTTCCAGGGATCCAAAGCCACGCAGCTGGGAGAGCTCTTGCCTGGGCATCGTACTCAAAGCACAACCCAGCATCAGAGTTTCCCCCACACCAGGTCCCAGACTAGCTCCAGGGAGGAGGATTTTCCTGGGCAGCAGCCAGGGGAGGTGTGCAAGGAGCCAGGGGCTACCGGGACGCTGCTGGCTGGAATTACGTCGTGTCGGTGGCTAGAATTACTTGGGGCCTTGCAGGCAGGCCCGTGTGGGTAGGCTGACTCACAGCCACCCACTGGTGAGCTCACACCCTGGATTTTATGGCTCAGGAGGCTGTGGCATTGCCAAGAGGTCCCTTTGCTCCCTCAGCACCTGCTTTGGCCACAGGAGACCACAGGGAAGCCTGGCATGCACAGGGATGGGGGTGCTTCATGGGGATGCTGGGCTTCCACAGGCAGAAACACCAGCGTTGTGTCTCCAAGAGCCAGTCCCTGTCCCCCACCCTCCCCGTGCACAGCAGTGAGGTCAGAGCACGACCAGCACCAGGAAGGACAAGCCTGGATCGCTGGATCCTCTATTGCAGCTGGGGAGCAGCACGGCTTTCTCTGCTGGGCTCGATTGCTCAGCTCCCAGGTGCGCTCACCCTCACCCAGTGCCGCAGAGCAGAGCGCCCAGGGGTGCTCAGGGGCCGGCACGGCACCCACAGAGCCCCACGGACCAGCCTTCCCCACCACCAGCAGCTGCCGTGGCCACAGCCACCCCTCCAGGGCTCTGCGCACTCGGGCCGGGGCTGCAGCCTCCTCCCGCAGCAGTGAAGGGCTGCTGTAATGAGCAGCAAACAAGTAATAAACCATCAGAGTGGCTCTAGCAAACCCCCCGACCACGGCAGCACTTCAGTCCCAGCCTCACCAGTATCCGCCCTCCTTCCCAGCACAGCAGCACAAAAAACGCCGCTGCCGAGAATTGGGAGCTACATCCCAGTACGAGCCCCAGCTCCCAGTCCCAGTCGAGGGTGCTGCGGGGAGCCAGCCCGGAGGGCAGCGGGCCGAGCCCGGCCACAGACCCACCTTTGAAGAGATAATCGTACTCATCGTCCTTGCCCCGCATCTCGCCCAGCACCGCAAACCCGCTCCCACTGGGCCAACTGGGATTTCCGGACCTTATCCAGCCCTGGCAGGGGCTGTCCCCTGCCACCCATTGGTGGCCACAGCCTTTCCTGCTCCGCACCCATTGGCGGCCGGGGCTGCCCGTCAGCACCCAGGTGTGCTCACCTGGGCCAGGTAAGGGGGCAGGGACAGCCACCACCTGTGAGCGCTCCTGGTGGGACAGCGATGACCACGGGCTCCACGCAGAACCGTGGGTCTGATGTGGAGCTGGGCTGGCACGGCTGGCGTGGTGCAAAAGGAAAATGAGCGAAGACACGGAGAATCCAGCAGGAATGACGCGGTTTCCGAGGGGTTTCGGATAACTGGCAGAGGCTGCGTCATCGTTTGAACTGATAAAGTTCAAAAAGGGGACCTAAACTGGGAAAGGTTGCGTGGAGAGGGAGCACAGGGAGAGCATGGCTTCAGGGCAGGAGGGAGTGCAAGGGGGGGCATCGGGGTAGGAGATGGCACAGGGGAGCTGTGGCATCCAGCTGGGCTGCTTTGGAGGCCATGATCTTCAGCACATTATGAAGGCGGGGACCCGGGGTGTTGACCACAAACACGCAGGAATTCCAGCTGAGTAAATCTGCATTTCACAAGTCCTTTAATGATTGCATCACGCCCGTGCTGGACACGGAGCTGCTCCCGGCCCCATGGCACTGGGCCCCGTGCTGAGCCCTGTCCCACCATGCAGACGGGTGCCAAGTAGGCACCTTTGTTTGGTCCTGCTGCCACACATGCCCCATGTCTAGGGATGGGACAGATGTCTAGGGATGAGACAGGCTCACGGGCTGAGAGCTGCCACTTCACACCCCAGGGCTTGGCTTGACTCCAGAGCAGTCCCTGGTGGGACAGACACCTGTTGGTCAGCCACATCCTCAGTGCACAGCACAGGGTGGCCCTACAGGAGCAAGCCCAGGGCCAGAGGCAATCAGAGAGGCTCCTGTAGCTGGCATCATCTGCCCAGAACCTCCTGGCTTCTTCCCCAGAGGTGCCTTGGGGGTGTCCTGGTCCCCTTCCCCTGGAGGTCCAGAAGGGCTGAAACAACGCGTGACAGTGGTGATGCTAATCAGGGCTCAGCAGAAATGAAACAGAGAGAGAAGAGCTCATGGAACTGGCGCTTCTCACTGTTTACGGCAGAATTTGGCCCCTGCCCAGGCTGCTGGTCCCCACTGCACCAGGACAGGAGTGGCACTGCAGACAGGGTGACACCAGCCTGTGTTGGTGGCCACTGGTGTGTCCCGGGGCTGTGGGGGTCCCTGGGAGAGTTCCCAGGTTGCCCAGTGGCTCAGAGGGCCACACAGCACGGGCGCCTCTCTGCCTGTGCTGGGGCCGTGCTTGCAGGATTCTCACTGGCAAGTGACACCGTGTTGCTCTGGCTGCTCCTCTGCTTCTGCTTCTGCACTTTGTAGAAGATTTCTGCCAAAGAAAAAGTGTGTCAGCCAAGACCCCCTGGGGATGCAGAGGCAGCTTCAAGCCTGCAGCCCCCACTGCTCGCCCACAGCTCGGCACGCCGGTGGCTCTCCTTCCCCTCTACGCAGCAGAGGGGTGACTTGAGGGGTGACAAGGGAACAGCTCCCACAAGTCGCATCCCTGCAGCACTTGGGGAACACCCTGTGCTTGGGCAATTTCCTCTTGCCCAACCTGGGATTAGTGCTTCACCCTGTTCTGCGGCTGGCAGCTCACTGGGCCAGGCTGGCTCAGCACAGCACTGCACAGCACAGCATGGCATGGAATAGCACCACATGGCTTGGCATGGCTCAGCACAGCATGGCACAGCTCACTGCCCGGATGCTGCTGGCTGCCATTCCTGGAGAGCTGCTCTTGGACTCCATCCCTGGCCCCCCAGGTCCCCACAGCCGGTTTGGCAGGATGCTGGAGACACCAACTCATGAGCCCAGGACAACAGGAAGAAGACTGGAGATTATGGGGGAGAAGCAGCTCCTGGGGCTTCAGGGATGCCCAGGGGACATGAGAACAAAGCTTTGGTATGGGAAGTGAAACACCCAGCACCAAAGGCTGAAAACCAAAGCAGACAGAAAGACAACACCAAAAGACCTCATGAAGCTAACCCCAAATGGTTACTAACCCCAAAGTTCCCAAAGGAAGCTAACCCCAAATAGCTCAAGTGGAGCAGGGAGAGAAGTGCTGCATGTCATCTGCCCAGCCCTGCATCCCTGGGAAAGGGATCCCACAATGCCCTGGGACTCTGCTGCATCACGGCACCAGTGCCTGTACCCTTCAGGATGGTCTCAAATGCTTCCTCAACATTGGTGGAGTCCAGCGCCGAGGTCTCAACAAACAGCAGCCCGTTGTTGTCTGCAAGGAGAGGAGCCCCCTGAGATGATGTAGACCCCAGTGAGGACATGGCTCCAATCTGGAGCACCTTTATTGATGTTCAGATGCCTGCACTGGTGCAGCTCCAAGCTGTTGGGGAGGTTCTCAAGCCCCTAGCCCTGTGGTGGGGTGCCAGTCTGTACCTGCAAACATTTTCGCCTCTTCCATGGGCACCTCTCGAGCCTGTGCAAGGTCGGTCTTGTTTCCCACCAGCATGACAATGATGCTGGCCTCGGCATGGTCGTACAGCTCCTTCAGCCAGCGGTCCACCACATCGTATGTCTGGTGCTTGGTGATATCAAACACGACCAGGGCACCCACAGCCCCCCGGTAATACCTATTACAGAACCCCATCATCATTCCATGCTCCAGATCCACCCCCCAGCATCCTCACCCACGGGGCTGAACCCACATCCCAGGAGAAGCACGGATTTCAGGCCTCCCATCCTTACGCTGAGGTGATGGCACGGTAGCGTTCCAGTCCAGCAGTGTCCCAGATCTGAGCCTTCACCACAGCATCTCCCACCAGGATTGTGCGCGTGGAGAACTCCACACCGATGGTGGTGCGGCTGTCATGGTTGAACTCGTTGCGGGTAAAACGAGAGAGCAGATTTGTTTTTCCCACCCCGGACTCCCCGATCAGGACAACTGTGGAAGGAAGGAGAAATCCCACTGAACTGCCCCAGCTTCCAGCACTGGTTGCATGGACATTGCTTGCTGTCCAGTCTCAGAGGCTGGGCAGATGTGCGGGTTTAACCCCTGGTGTGGTTGCTCCTTCAGCAAACAGGGGTCCCTGTGGGAGCCTAGCTGTGCTCCCTAGTGCTGGTGTGGCCCCAGAGCTGCTCAGTGGGGTCATGGCTACTGGGGTCTGGGCAGCAGGAGCAGGGCAAGGATGCTGGTGAGCCCTGAGCCACCCAGCTGCAGTGGGCACTCAGGATGGGTGGCACACCAGAGCCTGTCGGTCTCCACTTATCCAGAGGGAGTCCAGCAGAGTCCAGCCAATAGCACCTGGCAGAGACCAGGTGGGCCCAAGGAACTCAGCATGGGATGTGTGAGCCTGTGCCCACATTTCTCCAGCTCAGGTTTGACCCCCGTGTTCTCTGCACATGCCACTGCTCAGGTCACTGCAGCAAATGACCTGCAGCAAATGACTCTTCAATGCCCACTGCTCTCGGGTGTTACAGGCTTTCATGGCATTTTTGCCTCACACAGCCCCAGATTTCACACACCCCCCCATCCCACAACAGCAATTTGCCTGGCACTGCACACCTGCAGCCTTGGGGTGAGTGTGGATCTCCCCGGGTCTCTGTGGACCTTGGCGCTGCTCACCAGCCCTGGCCTCACTTCTGTCAGTGGTCGGTCCTTGTCCCCTGAGCCTCCCAGTGCTGACCCTGACCCTGCTCCCGGTGCCCATGCCAGCCGCGGGGGCAGTCAGCACCGTCCCAGCTCGGGACACAGCCGCTCTGGGGAAGGGGCACCCTCGTTCCCTCCCCGCAGTTCCTGCCTTTCTGCTCCACCCCTTTTGGGGAAGGAGGGGGTCGCACCGAGCGCAGGACTCACCCTTGAAGACAAAGTTATAGTCCTCCTCGGCGCTGCCCATGTCGCCCGGCTGCCGCCTGCCCTCGCAGGGCCGCCCTGGGTTTCCTCCTTCCCGCTGCCGAGCCTCGAGCAGGCGGCGGGCCGGGCTCCCGGAGGCGCCGAGGGAGGACACGGAGCGAGCAGAGGTTCCTTTCTGTCGAGGAGCGAGCGGGAGCCAAGGGGGTCCAGGGGAGCGCGGAGGGTCTGGGACAGCAGCAGCGACAGAAGCCAAGCTGGCGACAGCGCGGCCGCTTGACTCAAGGGGTGGGACTGGGTGTCGCAGCACAGGTTGGGCAGGTAGTGTCACCTCTGGGACCGTCACGGGGCTGGAGGAGGAGCCAGGGCCCCATCCTGAGTGCGGGGCAGGCTGGGGCAGCGAGAACTGTGTGGGCAACACGGGCAGGGAAGGGTGCAAGGGCAGCGTGGGCAGGCGGGGGGAGCGTGCACAGGACAGCGGGGGCGACACGGGCAGCGTGCGCAGTGAAGGTGGCACGGGCGGGGACAAAGGGCTGCGATGGCAGCAAAGCAGACCGGGGCAGCATGGGCAGAGCAGGATGGCAGCGAGGGCAGCTGTGCCAGGAGCAGAACCCTCGCTCAGTCCGGCTCCCGCCGCTGTGAATGTTCCCTCGCCTCTGCTGCCATCGTGTGAAAGCCAGGGAAATTGGGACGGGAAGGACCCCCCACCACCTCCAGCTATCCAGTGTGACCAGCAGGGTTGTGCAGGGGCTCGGCTGTTGTAACCTCTCTTCTTTGATAACAGCCCCTTGCAACTTCTTGTCTTTCCCCAGGGCAATTCCCAAACACTGCCCAGGCACCTCTAGCCCAGCCAGGTTTTGTTACCCCTCAGCTCCCCGACAACAGACACGATGGACACAAGCATCAAACACTTTTATTACCCCAGCTTTTGTATTCCTGACAAATACAAATTGTATTTGTATTTTTTTTTAAGACCACACTAGAGCTCCGGGATGCCCATGGGGCCACTCACGCCCAGGTCATGCCAGTGACGGTGACGGTGTCAGAGCCCAGAGGCACCTCAGAGCCCTCCACTGCCCTCTCACGATGCAGCCACCTGTGTGAGCGGCTCCTCCAGGTACTGGACCAG